TAGTATACTTTGATTATGAATAACCATGTAGCCTTGTTTCTTCTTTGAGTAATATCCAAAGGATTTCTCATAACAAGGGTGTTTCTTGTATTTTTTTTACTTAAGTGGCTTTGCACCTTTTAGAACACATAGACATCAAGAGAGACCTTATTTAGACATGACAAATGCATGCAACAACCTCATGTTTCTATACCTTTATTTTACATAGCCTTTCTATGCCATGAAATTTTGTGTACCTAGTAAGGAGCATCACTTTGTTTATGGGTTAAATGGCTTGTTTTCTAGTTGGTTAAGACATAATTATGGACATGCTTTTAATTATTCTTGTGTTAGTCCATGACATGGCATTGCTTGTGATGTTTCTTATGACCTTGGGAGATTGTTACATCATTGATAGAAAGTGGCAACATTGTTTTTATTTTCTAAGGGTGTCATAATCATTGGACTAGCATTTGCATCATGCCAACCCACATGATGAGTTTAGATTTTTTGCATGGTGTGACCAAGTCATGGAATCCGAAGTACATGCTTGTTAACCCTTTAGGATCCAAGACTATGATTTCTTTGCCCTCTTATGTGTAGCTACATGGGCATAGGGTAGAGAACATAGTTTAATGAACCTTAAACTTTGGGTAATCAAGACTTGATGGTTATTTCCACTTTTTCAATAAGGCTTCCAAGAGGCATGTACTTATTGTTGTGCCCACAGGTAATTTGTGAGCTATCATATGCCCTCGAACTATGTATTCATCTGATCTTACTTTTGGTATTTGATGGATATATCTATATGCTCATTTTTTATATCTACTACATGTACCATGCTTTATCTCTATATAGCTTCCATTTGCACCTTGTTGACATTTTTGGTAGCCAAGTTATTTTTTCATGTAACTGGTATTGTGATACAAGCTTTAATCCTTCACAATTGGTATCATCATTGCATCATGTAGCACAAATTGAGATTTATCTTGCATTTTGGCTTGGCTTTGCTTGGCTTGTCTTTGGGTTGCAATTTTGCCCTTGAGTTTTATCTTTTGTTCAATTGGTGTTTGAGATTTTTATTTATTTATTTACCTTTTGTTTCCTAGTTTTGTTTCACTAAGTTTCTTTTGTTGATGGGGGTTCATCATCTTTGGACGGGAAGTTGGTTAAGTAGTCTTGTGCTTGATACTTCAGTTGGATTCAACATTCTATATGTTGTCTCCACTCTTGGATTTCCACCTCCTTAGGGATTTTTCATTCACTATAATTTTTTTTGTTCCACAAGTGGTATGTTTTTAACCCTTCAATTGTTATCCCTTATATTATACACCATTGTGTCCTTTTTGTTGTTCTAAGGATACGTTTGAAGCATCCTATGTGCTTTTTTTATCTTGAGCTAATAAATCCCATCTCTTTTAGCATTTGCACCATATATCATATGTGAATCATGTATGTCCATAACATTTTATTTTGTAGTGAAAGTGCATGTACCACATGTCCTTGCTTAGTCTCACTTTGATGCTTTGACATAAACTTGTCAAGTTAATCGTGTTTTGTTAATTGAACAAAAATTACATAATCTTGAGGACTTGATAATATGACACTTTTCTTCTAGCTAGGTTCATGTGAGAAGTTGTGCACATTCGAACATATCGTTTACTTATTATAGTGCTTTTCCTAGTACTGAATGTGATTTGTTGTCTACCCATAAAGCTTTCTATACTAAACCACATATAATGACATTCTTGTTGTGATCCTTATGTTCAACACAAGAAACAAATAGAGGTATATTTTATTCTTCTTGAGGTTGTTGCACCTTGCCTTATGCATTGATGATGTTACCTTTTATCGCTAGAAAAACAAGTAAAGCTAAAAATGATTTTGATCATAAGAATACAAGTTCCATGCCTACTCATGCTTTACAATCTCTATCAATACTTTGATCCCAAAATGTTTTATTTCTATCCCCAATACATAGTTCTCAAAATTTCCTATTCCTATGTCAACTTTTTAGATGTGGGTTCGAGAATAGGAACTTATGGAACTTAGTTTTTTTCTTGACATGATTAAGACTTGGTTGGTTAGATAGATGGCCTTCCAAAGGCATGCTTGACATTGTAATAAGTTCTTTGACTACTTTGTGAGCTACTATACACTCATGTGTTTCACATTACCATACATTCATTATTTGTGGTTTAAGATGAGATGTTTCATTATATTGTCACATGAATACCCTTGAAAATTCGATCATGTTATGAATTTATCATCCATTTCATTCTTAGTGTAATTTTAGTCATGACTAATTAACATGATTGTCCTTAAGTGAATAGACCATGATAACTCAAATACATGTATCTCCTCATTCTCCCTTGAGTTAATTGATTATTCACTCAGGGGAACTCAAATGCTTCTTTTTGACAATCCTTTCTATTTTCTTTTGGGGACAATTATTCATTCACATTATTATTTATATTATTAATCCAGTGGATCACAATTCTGAAAAAATAGATCTTTGAGGTAATTGTTTTTGTGGTAATTGTAATGAGAATCAAGTCATCGACTGTTGGAATAAATGGGCTTGGCCCAATAGAATTTCTGAAATTCCCATGAAGAAATCTCAGAGGCCCATTCATGTGTGAGCTAAGAGAGGGGGAGTGAGAACCTTTAGTCCCACCTTGCTTGTGGAAGTGGAGGTAGCCATACTTAAATATGTAAGTCCTCTCCACTTCCTTAAGTATAGTGTGAGGAGGAGAAAGAAAGCCCACATGCGCGCACGCTCGCTCAACTCATGGGCGGGGCAGGGCAGGGCGAAGGGCATGTGGCACCTGCGTGAATGGTCTGCCGAAATTCTAGCTCCTCGTTAGTTTTAGTTTTTGGTTACTTGGCCTTCATTTTGTAGATAGAAGTCCAAAACGGTTTAGAACATGATCGCGACACGAAATCCAATTAGATAGGCCTATATAAACAACCTATCGGCCATACCACAACGAATCTAATCGAGCTAGGGTTTTTGCCTCTTCTCACTGCCGCCGTAGTCTCTCAATCCCAACCGCCTGCATGCACCGGCGATCGGGAGAGCAGGTCTCCGAAACCCTTGTCCTTGTGATTGTGCACCTGAAGAGGACGAATAAGGTTTCTGAGAAGCGCTCTTTGCGCGACTGCTCCCAACTTCCACGATGGCTCGTCTTCCAAAGGCTATGTCGGGACATCATCTCCACCACCAGCAGGCTCGTCGCATCTTCAATGGAAACTTTCCTCCACCACTCATCGACAACTTCGTACCACCATCAACAACAGCGTCTCCACCTGTGACGTTGTCTCCCTCTGTAGTCGAAAGGTACACACCCCGTGATCCAATATCTCTGTCCATGTTGTTCAATCTGGCTAGTATGCGAGCAATGCTCATACTAGTATTTGTGTTCATGATGTTTAATCATACTAATATACGAGCTATTCTTATATTAGTTTTTGTGTTCATGTTGTTTAATCTGAATAGTACACGAGCTATGCTTATACTAGCGTATGAGATTGTTATGATTTATGTTATGGTTTTAATCTAGAAATTGTCTATTTTCTCTACAATCCAAAAACCTTATTGTAGGCCTTTTCCTGATTTAACTATGGCTGGTTTTGCTGATGCGCTGAGGCCGGAAAAGTTTTCTAGTGCGCACTTTAAAGAGGTGGCAAGTCAAGGTCACACTCTGTTTAGAGACCATGAAAGTGTTCTGGATTACTGCTGGCATGCCCAAGGGAAATATCTATGAAGAAGATCAGAGAAGATTCCAGAAAGCCAACAATATCTCTAGAGGAGCAGTCTTAACATTCTTGCTGACCATCTGCTAGATGCAAACTGGCATATACAAGATGGGAAGGCATTGTGGGATCATCTGAATGCTACCTTCGGTGCATCAGATGCAGGCAGTGAGCTATACATCATGGAGAGCTTTCATGACTACAAGATGGTTGGTAACCAATCTATAGTCGAGCAAGCTCATGAGGTTCAGCGCATAGCAAAGGAACTTGAACTCCTTAAGTGTGTCATACCCGACGAGTTTGCGGTTGGATGCATTATTGCCAAGTTTCCTCCTTCATGGAGGGGCTTCGACACAATTCTCAAACACAGGAGACAGAAAATATCAGTTAAAAATCTGATATCATCTCTTGACGTTGAGGAGAAGGCTCAGGCTAAGGACAACACTGAGAAGGGGAACGAGGGTCATTCTAGCGCCAACTTGGTGCAGAAAAATCCACACAACAAGAATGACATGTAATTTGGAATGGAGGGGGGTTATTTTATATTATTCCATGTTGCACCGACCTCATTCTTTCCCATGCCTACTAGGCTTAATTCCATCTTCCTCTAGCTCGTCAGTATGTGTGTTGCTCATCTCAAATAGCACTTGTCTTAATTTTTACATGTGGTAGTTATTAATGATTTTGTTAGACAGTTAATTTAGTTTGTGATTCAATCTGGTGCTCTATCACTTTGTCTTGTAGCTAAATCAAACCCTGTTTGCATCAAATTTTATTTTATTTTAGGTGATTCATAGATCTTGAAATTTTGAATTAATCTTCGGTAATCATTTACCCCTTCTTATTGCCTATCTTGTATGAATGGATCGCATACAATGTTTTACAGCGAAGAAGAGCTCGTGCAATGCACGAGGGCTTTCAGCTTGCTCGCTTCCTCCCTTGTTCAACGGCCACTAGTTTAAGTTCGAACCTTGTACACATGGAGGCGCCAGCAATAGTTGTGGTTGAATGGCTAGCCCTGAATAACGGGGTGCATGCTGTGCCGCCTGCCAGTAATCCGCTGTTATGTTTATATATATCTCCGTTCCCAAATTAAACAATGACTAATCTTAGCGCTAGCCCATCATCATGTCAGGTGAGCTTCCATATATCATTCCACCCCGTAGCTCCGCCTGTTGCACCAAAATTCAGAGCTGACACCGTGGTTCAGTTTTTGGGTAGATAATAAACAAAAAAAAAGGAGAGAGATGGCACTGTCTCGCCGCATGGGCGCCGCACCATTCTTCGTCATACTTCTCGTCATCGTCGCGGCAGGTGATCTTCGTCATCAGTTCTTGGCCGGTGTGTCAAGCTTTGAAAGTATTATGGAATGAATATGTATCCGCCGTGTGTGTGTGTGTGTGTGGTGTGCAGAGACGGCGACGTCCAGGGTGGTCGTGGAGGAGAAGCACTGCCTGTCGCAAAGCCACGCGTTCAAAGGCCTGTGCTTGAGCGACACCAACTGCGAGAGCGTATGCAAAACGGAGAAGTTCACAGGCGGCAAGTGCAAGATCGACGGCGTCTCGCGCAAGTGCTTCTGCAAGAAAGACTGCTAGGGAATGACCGGCGGTACGGCAACAAATAAAGATTTGTCAAGCCCAGCAGTCGATCACGGCGTCACGTCAGCCTGTTGATTTGTTCCTCGCCGTCTCTGAGAGGCCATGGTCGCCGGCCGGCGGGTTCCTCCGTGCTGATCTGGTTGCAGCTGCCGTACGTTTGGTTTACTGCATGTGCGTGCGGTCATGCATATAATAAATAGACTATGATGCTCTTGTACGTTTTAGTATGGGTTGTTCGTTATTTTCTAGTGTACTCTATTTGCGAAACACGTTGTAGTTAACGTAAGTATGTATTTGCTTTGCGTGGAGGCCAACGATTTGCCTTGATTGTACAAAAAAATCATATATGTTTGTGATGAGTATCTGAAATGAAATGAGGGCAATGCAACCTTTCATGCTTGAGCCATGCTCGCTTCTTCTTTTAGAAGCAATCACTGCTACATAATTGATTTTTAGGGGCGGCTCGTAACCCTTTGTAGGGGCGGTTTGGCCAGCCGCCCCTACTGAACCGTCTCTACAAATCATGTATTTGTAGGGACGGTTCCCAGGTCGCTCCTACAAATCGATTTGTAGGGACGGCTGTAGTACCAGCCGCCCCTACAAATACCTATTTGTAGGGGCGGTTCAATCTAAAACCGCCCCTACAGTACGTTTTCCTTCCAAAAACCATTCAAATTTACAATTCAAAATTGTGTTGCCGAATGTCCCGCGACCAACGTTCCGAACCGCGTTCGCGTTGCCGAACGCCCCGCGACCAACGTTTCGAACCGCGTTCACGTTGCCGAACGCCCCGCGACCAACGTTCCAAACCGCGTTCGCGTTGCCGAACGTCCTGCGACCGTGACTACAAGCACAAGAGTATTATATAAACTACAATTACAAGTCCAATTCACAAGAATATATACAATCTATCATTAAATATACAAATTCCATACACATTGTTATCAACGTCCTAAAGCTAGCCTTTCAGTCTCACGAAGGTATTGGTACTGAGGATTTGTACCTAACTCAAACTCTCGGTCACGGTAGGCGCCTTTGACGTGTACAATCTGGTCCAATATGAAGTTGCAAAGGTCGCCGACGAGCTCTAAGAGTTGGTCATCCTTGTATGGGTCTTTTTTCATTCCTTTCTCTTCTCTCCACTACAAGAGAACAAGTTTCGGTTTAGTATTTCATACCATGTATAAAGTTTTTATACTACGGGTGAAGAGGTTCAAACTTACCCTTAAGGGATGTCTCCTGTAAGCACCGATGTTACTCATCATAGAACATATATTGTATCCACAATGTACACTCCCAGACTTCTGCTTGGGGCACTGTGTGTTTTGCATATGAAAATATTAAGTAATGCTTTTGACAGCCATGTAACGGAGTACTGAAGAAGTAAGTTACACTTACCGCACATAGTGTTTTTATAGCTAGCTTTTCCTTTCTTGCTGGATCATGCCTTCCGTGATGATTAGTGACATAGAACCTAAATGCCATGTTCGAATTATTTTAGCAAATACAACTTGTTAGAATCCAAAAGTGAATGTTACAAATACGTATGCAAACATATAAGCTAATGAGGATTGTCGATATGTATACATCTTGAGAATCGATATGAAGTCTTTGTATGTCACCGGGTCCCTATCTATTGAATCAAAGACCCATGCCATGATCCTCCCGACATTGACGGCTGTGTCCATGTGCTCCTAAATTGAACCAAGCCATTATAAATCCAATGATTCTAAGAAATATCACAACTTCACAACTAATAGGGCCAATGCCATTTTATATATCAGAGAACTACTTGGGTCCATGTGCAGACAGACAATATTTTTGTATGGACCAAAATGCCCTTGCCATCCCCTTCCTCCCCCTCCCCATCTTTCTTCCCTACATGACATCGCCACTTTCACCCGTGCAACTGGCCGGCAAGCCCGACTATGAGAATACCAGCAGTGGCCTGTGGCACGTGGGTCTGACCGGTGAGCTCGGTGGGTGACGGAGCCGGCAAGCACGAACACCAACCACTAGCGACATTTGCACGATGGTCCTGGATCTCGACACTGAGGCCCTCGCAAGCCTCCATCGTGGTGGCGTGCTGGTGGATAGCACACGCTCCTCCCCTTCCCTCGTGCGCGAGATTGTTGCAGCCACAAGCATGACTCATTGCTATGTCGTCGATGCGCCAGTCTCTGGGGTGATGATGTCGGCACCCAAGATGACACGCCGACCATCTTCACCGGAGGCGACGAGGGCATGGTCGCTGTCGCAGGGTCAAAATCGCAGCAAGCATTGTTGTTCAAGTCGGTGTCAAAGTATGGTTCTCTGGTGGCTCGGGTGGACTCAAGAACACAAGAATCATAGAGAGGACACAACGGTTTATCCTAGTTCGGGCCAATCGGTGCCCTACGTCCAGCAGCTGATGATCCTTATACTCAAAAGCACCCAAAATCGAGGGGTTACAATAGGGTTGTAGAGAGATTTGGTAGGGGGTTAACTCTGTGCTAATCCTAAGGTTGCCTTGCCGCTAGTGGAGCCTTCCCCTCATCGGAGAGGAGGAAGATGACGGGATGCGGTGGAGGAGCTCTTAGTGCCCCTCTCTGGGTTGCCTTGCTCTTGATGCTGAGCGGAGGCCAAGGAATAGAATGGAGTGTCTTCTGATGATCATCTGAGTTGCCCCCCTCCTAGGTCTGACCTTATCCCTTATATAACGAGATAGGTCGGGTACATGGTGGTTTGGGGAGGTGAGTCTACGGTCTACATACGTTGGAGTCTAGGAGGGCCTTGTAGCGACGCGCTGTGTACCGTGGCGGTGTCGTAGAGCCGAAGAAGCCTTGGGCATCGTTCGGCTACTCTATTCTGACACTTTGCGTGTCAGGCTATGTTGGCTTGGACCGGTCTCCCCTAGGTGGACCTTCTAGAGTCTTCTTGGCGGTGAAGGAGGTCGGATCTAGGGGCTGACGCGCGGGCCTAGGAGCCCCCAAGCCCCTGGAGGCCGTTGGGAAGCTTTGTCTTCTTGTGTCACGCCCCGTGTGTGACCTTGTTGAGAAAGTGGCCAGCAATGTCATGCCCAAGGGGCAGCGCTGGGGAGCCCTCGAGCCTCGGTAGCTTGGGGCATGTCTTCTTGTGCCCGGACCTTGGCTGGCGTCGTTGCCGCGGTAGGAGCTAAGGGCGGGCAGGAGTGTCGGCGTAGATCAGGAGCCTCAGGGCTCAGGCAAGCCCCCGAGGCCCAAGCGGAGGTCATGGCATAGTTAGGCTCGTCAGGGTTTCTTCTCCAGAGGGTGCGCACGAGCATACCCAATGGGTATAGCCCCTGAGCCCCCGGGCAATCCTAGAGGAGTCAGTCTGGGGGTCTTCTTCATTTGGGAACTATTGGACCTGAGGGTTAACATACCCATATGTTAGGATCTTGTCAGATGCCCTCGAGCCCTTAATGGCCTCACTTGGCTTGATGGCGATGAAGGGCTGAATTCGATCTTCTGGTGACCAAACCCTCCTTGGCGGGGATGGCTTCCATTGACAAGGATGTTGTGCCTAGCTTGGGGCCTTCTTCTCTAATGCGATGGGTGTTGCTCGGCTATCAAGGCTAGGCGATGATGGTGTTGATCCCTTCATGAGTCTATGTCGCATAGGTCTTTGACTCAAGCGAGGGCTCGGCGAACTCGTCTGGAGTTGCCAACCTTAGGCCTGGGGGCGCCCTCCTTTTGATCGGAGCCTGCTATGGGTCAGGTGATCGAGAGCATCTGGGCTCTGGCTCAAGGCCATCTAATCACCTGGAGCGCCATGCCCGTTTGACGAGCTACGTTAGCAGGTCTTGATCCTCTCAAGCCGGCCTTCTGGGGCCGACCTTCTATGGCCATAGATCGAGGTGCGGGGAGCGTGCTGAGCCTTGGATGGAGGCCCTCATTGGGCCCACCACTCAGCGGCTCCCTCCCCAACTCTAGGGAGTTGGTTGGTTTTTGGGGATGCGTCACCCGAGTGCCCGTCGATTGGGGGTTCGGGTTGCTCTGTCTGGGGAGCTGGCGCAGCCCTCGAGGCCTCTAAGGCCTTGAAGTCTTTAGGGGCTTGGATGAGCCTTTAGCTTAGGGTTGTTGTTCCCTCGGTAGGCTAGGCTACCATGACAATAACCTCGGTGGCCAAGATAGTCGTGCTGTGCTACTAGCGGGTAAGTCCGTGAGAACCCCAAGTTTATGGTCGTTCCGTGCCTTGGTCATGTCCCCCAGGGGGAGATTCTTGGCTTCTCGGTTGAGCCACTCATATAGTTCCTGAGCCCATCTTTCGGTGCTCGGGGGCTCACTGCCTCCCTCAATGGGTCACCACGAGAGGCTCGAGGCCAATACTCGAACATCGCTCTTCCAGACAATCAGGACACTTCTAGGTGTCCTGGCTACAACCACGTGGGCTCATCTCCCGAGCATCCCTCGCACTTTGGTATTGCCCTAGGGCGACCTTGAAGCTCGAGGGAGCCGGCCTTAAACCCCAGGCGGCGCCCCTTCTAGGGGGACATCGCTTCCGCCCCACTGAGGGGCGGCTCATGCTAGGGGGTTAGAGGTACGATTATTGAAAAATAGGAAGGAACAAGCTATAGATAAAAATGATGTAGCGGTTTGATGTTCCACCCATTGCCGTACTCCTTCCCCGCCATGGTGCTAATCTTGTAGGCGCCGGCTGGATCACCCATGAGATATGGAAGGGACCTTCCCAAGGCGAAGATAGCTTGTGGCCCCTCTTGGACGGGGTGGTTCTACGAAGGACAAGATCACCTACAACAAAGGAAAACTCATGTACCCTCCTGGTGTGATAGTGGCGAAGTCCCTGCTGGTAGCCGACAGATCGCACCATGGTGGTGTTCCGCACCTCCTTGAGCATGTCGATGTCCAGTTGGCGTTGTTCCTCGGCTCGTTGCTCATCATAGAAGTGGACACATGGGGCATCAAAGTCGAGGTCAGAGGGGATGACTGCCTTAGCCCTGTAGACAAGGAAGAAGGGGTGTACCCCATTGAGCGGTT